ATAATAATATATTAATAAAATATAATAAGGCTATTAATAATACTAGTAATGATAGTAAGATTAGTAGTAGTACTACTACTAATAATATCATAGCAATACCATGGTTGAATCTACAAGGAGTAAGAAATCAAAGAAAATGGTGATGCATGTCATCAATGATATTTTTTGTCTCTCTTACTCATCCTTGCTATGGTTAATGTCATTCAATAACAAAGATAAAAATAAAAGTAAATAGTATACAGACTATGTTTCAAACTTTATTATAGATAATATTTTATAGGCGGTGTAGGCAACATAGGATCAAGAGGGTAACTCTTCCGACTCCCTATTTCTTTTTGCTGTCCATTTCTTTTTTTTCTCATTATGCATTCTCCTTGTATCTGGGTCGGACTAAACCTGGCCCCAGAATACCAACGAGTGTCAAACCCAAGTTGTCCTTGTAGGGTAGGTCATCATGGTAGGGTCAAGGACCGAAGCGTTATAAGTTGGTGGGACTAACATGCCATTTAATAAGAAAATTTTAGTCTAGTCCAACAGACCCAAGTCAAGTCAAGCGAAATCCTATATTTAGTTGCTTCAATGCAGTAATTTATTACTTGTTTAATTCAAGGTGCGGGAGTATTGTTGTTCCTTGCGCATTAAGGTAATTCGGTCACTTCGCCCCTCAAGAAAAATATTATTGTGGATTTTAAACTTGCCTGAAAAAACAAAAACAATAGAGTTTCAAATGCAGGATTGTCGGGGAAGGCCCTCACGAGGGTGAAAGTTGTATTAGTTTTTTTTTTTTTTTTTTTTTGCTTTCGTTCCCGTGTTGTTGGAGTGCCCTGCCAGCCATACAGGGCGTGTTTAACATGTGGCAGGTAACTGTCTCGACGTTGTAGCATCATGTACCCACCCTCAATCACAAATGAGGAAACTTTTTTTTTTTTTTTTTTTTCCCGGTTGTTCGTCCATAAATGCCCTCACTGAGGGCACCGTCACACGAACACCTCATGGAATGTATCTGATGGTTATCGAGGCATTCATAAAGTTTTTTTTTTTTTTTTTTCCCTTTGTTCCTTCTCCTATGAAACTGACCCGGCTCGACAAAACTCGGTGCGCAGTGGAGGTAGTGGTGGTTTAAACCACTAATACCTCCGCTAGTGTTGGGAAATTATGATGTTTTGCCAGTTCCCAAAGTTATTGGGGGTGGGACACAGGGTCGACACTGTCCCATAAATCAAATTTTTATATTGCCCGTGAGTGAAAGAAAAAGAAAAAAAAAATACCATCTCTACTGCAATGATGTCGGGCAAGGTAGTATTGGAGGCTGTGCTCAGAGTCTTCCTTCACAGAATGCACCTCACCGGTAAGCCGGTCACATTCTGGATGTTACTGTTTTCTTTTTTTTCTTCCTCGTGTGTTTCTTATAAGTCCCCTGCCAATGAGGCAAGGGGGGAATCCGTGAATTTCTCAAACCGTCTGTGATCTGCTGAAGTTGTGTTTTGTTAGAGGATTGTAACACTCATCCCACTAGTACTAAGGGGAATGTATCCAACCATTTTCACGGGCGGATCCGTGTGCCCGTGTTTTTCCCCTTTTATTTCTTTTTCGAATCTGACAACCTGGCCACGGGGCTGAGATGCCCTCATTGAGGGCACACTCACACTACCACTTCCAAGAATGTATACAATTGCAATCACGACCAAAACTTTGTTTCATTTTTTTTTTTTCTTTTTTTACGAGTTCACGGCCTCAACTTTTTTTTTTTTTTTTTTTTTTAA